CACCATAGAAATCTTCACTGTGCGTCCAGGCCTAGTACTGTACAGCATTTGGAACAAAAAGTCCTAGTAACATCTACTGTGCATGCAGCCATCCAGAGGTATATAGCTTCAGGCATAGGATTGAAAGTGGTAAGTGGAAAACATGCTAGGTTGGCGCAGGATGTGGCTGGTTCTTTTCTTCTTGCAGAAGCTGTGCTGCAACAATTAGGGTTGCATAGTGAAAATCCCCGGGGGATGCCGGAAGGTCCTGCTATATATGGGTTATGCTGAGGGGAGAAGCAATAAAAGCCAACTTCACTAACTAGTTATGGACTTGGGGTGCAATACATATTCCCAAAATACTTAATAGAAGTGCACAGGGCATACATAGCATGCCCTGTCCTCCCGCTATTGCATTTAGCAACAGTTTCTGGCAATTCTTAGCTTTTAAAATGACCTGCTGTGTATTATAGCAGCAAATGGAGCTGCTGCTGTCAAGTTCGGCTTCATTCACACTATGTGCTATTAGATGCTTTTATATGCATTTAAAAAGCTTTTGTAAATGCATATCTATGCATCTTATGAATTCAATGGGTATGTATTCACACCTGGCACACAGATGCTTGAGACCACAATAGACTCCCTGGACTCATTTAAGGTCAAATTCATTTTTTTTTTTTATAAATTCTTTTATTTTCGCAACATAACATGTTATGTCATTTACATACAGTAGAAGGAGGGAATACACGAACAAATAATATACAGACATGTGTGGGGAGAGCATGGGAAATAACAGGCATCCAGTAATATTAATATCGTCTCAAGGCCACACAAGGAGCTTGGTATGAAAACATTGAGCTGTGAGCAAGTATAACCTCGTATTTTGGAGTCGAGCACTCCTATCCACTTGGGGTAAAGCTCCAACTGTTAAATGGTCCGTAGATGGCTGAGGTATTATCACGTCTACCTAGCGAACCATAAATAACCGCTACCTCGAGGAAGGTGTTGAATACCTGAAGGATGTATAGATAAGGATAAGGGAGGGGTTGAGAGAAGGCCAGGTATAGCGAAGGGAAAGGTAGAGGGGTCAGAGGGGTATACCATAGAGTTGGCATCGCTCAAGGTGCCATATATGCCCGATATTCATCCCTGGTTGTATATTCGAGCCAGTAGTGCCAGGTAGCATTGAATCTAGAGGAAGTATCTTTGATGTGACTGGTGAGATCTTCCATATACCTAAGGTCATTCATTTTGGTGAACCAAAGCTTTACCGAGGGTGGAGCTTCCTGTTTCCACAGCAGAGGTACACAGGCTCATGCTGCGTTGATCAGATGGACCATTATTGACCGTCTATATCCCTTGAGCGTATACTGGTTATGATGCAGTAGAAAAAAGGCTGGGTCAGCCGGAATAGGACGGTCAGTGAATTTTTGAGATATAAGTCGTACCTGGGACCAAAAGTGCGCCAGTTTCGTGCATGACCAAAAGAGTCAGAAGATAGCAAAGTTTGGTAGCAAAAGGATAAGGATTTTGTTAGGGGGCCCTGGTCTGTGTAGGTTTGTTTGAGAGGTGTCAAAGGGCGGGTGAAAGCTGCCGGGTCTGGGATGGATGCGAGGTAATGAGAGAGTTGAAGGTGTCTCCATAGACCCAGGCCGCCCAGAGCTGGGTCTGCTGAAAGGTCTGGGAGGGCTTGCCATGATGTACCCTTTAAGAAGTGCATTGCTTGGAACTTGTCCACAGCCCGAAGGTTCGAAAGTAGTCTATCCTCGAGACCCGGTGGGAATTGAGGGTTGCCTATTATCGGCATCAAGGGTGAGGGAGACGGCGAAAGTTGCTTCCCCAGAAAGGCAGATCGGGCTACTCGCCAAGTGGTTCCTACCGTGGGGTATAGCCTAACTGCCCTATCCAATTGTTTGTCGCACCATGGTAACACCGCAAGCGGGATGGCGGACATGCCCTGCTCTATGGCCACCCAAGGCTTAATCTCTTCATGTCGGCACCAGTCCATAACGCGGGCCAAGTGTGATGCTACATAATAAAGCTGAATGTCTGGTAAGGCAAGGCCCCCCGAGTCCTTAGGTCTCCGTAAAATGGACAGTCGTAGTCGCGGTGTCCGACCCGCCCAAACAAACCGTGTGATTATGGCCTGTATCGAGGCAAAAAAGCTGCTGGGCAGAGAAATCGGTAATGCTTGAAACGGGTAGAGGAACCTTGTCAGTACATTTTGTTTAATAACATTGCACCTACCCGTCCAAGTGAAGGCCTGTTGTGACCACCCAAGGAGGTCCGATTGAACAGGTCAAATTAATTTAAGGCTCCACAGGTATCCACTGTAAGATAACATCACACAATGATCTGTTTATCGTGTTATCTCTGGCTTAGACTATTATAGTATAGTATTCTATAATCTAAATGTGTTCACACTGGCTTTGTAAATGATCACAATGTGAAAACAAAATGTGTTTTATTAATCATATAATTATGTTTAGAAGTTTCATTTAAAGCTGCTATCCAGTCAAAACTGAAAATTAAACTTGAGACTATACAAGAAGCATAGTGATATGCCACTGATTACCTCAGATTTTCATACTGCCATCTAGAGCATTAGTTCACTCCATTTGGTCTGTAATGTGGTGATCCAAGCACATACCTGCAGTGATGTTGGAACACCCATTGTTTTGCCTTTCCTTTAGAAAGAATGATGCAAAAGTCATCATGCCTGAATAGGCAAATTGATGGAGTTTAATAAAAGTGACCCTGTCAGGGGATAAACAAATGCTTACCTGTCCTTTGACCCAGTTTGCAGAAACGTGGCTTCCTAGCAGAGCTCCTGGCACTGATCCTATTCCACACTTTGGAATGCTGGCTTCTGTGGTTCCTCCCAAGAAACCCTTCATCACTATTGTGTCCTGCAGTGGCCAGAGTTCAGCAGAAGGGACCACAGCAGCCAGCAGGGAGACAAGCCATTCGACCAGCCTGAAAAGTTAAAATTGGATCAGTGCAGGAAGCTGTGCTACTAAGCAAAGTTTTAGCAAACAAGCAGGTAAGTATAAAGTTGCTTACATTGCATGGCTATGCAGGGTTGCTTAAAGGTGAACTATGGGAAAAGTGAAATTCACTGATCCCCATAGTTAGAGGCAACGTGTGACACTGCAGCTGTTACATGTCGGCTCCATAGATAGAGAAATTAGCAATCGCAAACCTCTGATTGCTCAGTTCACAATCTTCACCCTACAGAAAGTGGTGACTGAGAGTCACAGCTCCCTTCAGAGATTCCCCCCTCCCCTCTCCATTCTCTATCGCTGACTGGAGGGATGGACTGGGAGAGGGCAGGCACAGCTGGCTCTGGTTCTAGAGATGCAGAACCAGCTGTCAATCAGACAGCGGGGTGGATCCCAACAATATTGTCAGGATCCGTCCTTGCTGCAGTGCAGCACTGCACTGTCAGCATATAGCTGGAAATAGCCCACTATATGCTGAGTTTTGGGTCACAGGAGGACATTTATAAATGTCCTCCTGTGACCAAAAGGGAAACAAACATCAAAAAAGGTTTGGCCATAGTTCTCTTTTAAATCACAATTGCTTGTACTCCGATGAATGCTTTTGTCTTGCCTGGAATTGCTGTTTACGTGTCAGTCCACCAGAATTAATAGCTGAAATTTGAATCACCTACTCAATTTTACATCTCTGATCTTGGCAGCAATATTTCTACACTTAACAGGGGTACAGGTACTTATACAGGGGTACAGATCCTAATAGGTTGGACTTGATGGACTAATGTCTTTATTCAACCTCAAATACTATCTAACTATGTAAGTTTCAAGGTCCACTCGATCTGTGTTCATTGTGCCCGAGCCAGAAACTTGCAAATATCTGATGCTTGGGATTCCCAAGAAAAATATATGTAGTCATTGAATGTAGTGATTTTAAGGAGTGCCTAAACCCAGGAACAAAATTCAGATTACCAGACCTGAGATGCAGGTGCTGCATTAGTTTTCTTGTTTCCTTTATTTTCACCTGGTGATTCTGGCAGTAACAATCCTTCCTGTTCTAAGGCAGTCATTCTCAACCAGAGTCTCACCTGGGTTCATCAGGGGTGCCATGATAAAACATAAAAACATGCTGTTTCAATACAGGACACAGCTTGTCAGGTACTTTCGTACAGCGGGACAGCTGCCAGCACCATAGAAACACATTCAGAAGAGGATGGAGGGAACTTTGTATCTGGAGTCCGCCTCCATCCATACCTGCTCTTTCTCAAGATTTTGCATTCTTTTAATGGGTTCAGTGACTGAAAAAAGGTTGAAAAAACACTGTGGGCTAAACAAGAGAAATCATTAGATTCCCCCCATCTATGCTACCTGACGGCCATTGTATTTAGTATATTCAGTGGTATATTTAGCAGACCAATAGGGAACAACTACGAGAAGTTCATTGTTCAGGGTTTTATACACTTTAGATGTGCTTATACTGCAGTTTGGCACAAAAATAGAGAAGGGCCCAGGACTAAATGCCATTTAAGGTTGGCACTCAGCAGGAGACAAAGACACCTATTCCCACTCTGGAATTAGGCTTGAGGAAGGAATGGAACCCCAAAATGTGTTGCCTCGCCATACTACCTCCAATTGCTTCTCGTCCGAGGCCATCAGTTTTACTGATTGATGCTGCCTGCCAACATCATTAAGTGATTCTCAGTCTGCAGAAAACTGCACACCAGCTGTCACTTTCTCTGCTGTCATCCACTGCTGAGCCAGCCGCTGCACCACTGCTATCCTCAGCTGAGCCTGCACCCTTCTCAGGTTTTTGCCTATGCCAGTGGTGGATGTTGCCTGATCTTCTTCAGGAGCAGCAGGACTTTGTGCTCTTCCACCTTTCCCTGAATAATGGAGTAACCTATAGACTAAGAGGACTTGAACTACCTTCTCAGTATAATGGGCTAATCTATTTTGCCTTACAGATTATACTGCAGTATTACCTTTGATGCCGTTTATTTTAATATATTTTTATGTTCTGTTAAACAGGTTATGAAAAAGAAGGAGGATTTCTTTAATGCGTGGAATTCATGTCTGCATCATGTTGTCACTCTGGCCTTGGCCCATATTCACAGAGGTCAGTAAACTTGTGCATTGGATAAGAACAGTCAGAATGATCATTGGTGATGTAGACAGGACTAAATTTATTGTCCACAAGCCTGCACCAGAAACCTCTGAGGCAAAATTAGACGCAATATGGATTTGGAAATCAGGATGCCTTTCATTTTGCAATGCAAAGTGTATATGCCACAGTTTTATATATATACTATATTACCAAAAGTATTGGGATGCCTGCCTTTACACGCACATGAACTTTAATGACATCCCAGTCTTAGTCCGTAGGGTTCAATATTGAGTTGGCCCATCCTTTGCCGCTATAACAGCTTCAACTCTTCTGGGAAGGCCGTCCACAAGGTTTAGGAGTGTGTCTGTGGGAATGTTTGACCATTCTTCCAGAAGCACATTTGTGAGGTCAGGTACTGATGTTGGACGAGAAGGCCTGGCTCGCAGTCTCCGCTCCAATAAGCCCAAAGGACTCTGTGCAGGGCAGTCAAATTCCTCCACCCCAAATTTGCTCATTTATGTCTTTATGGACCTTGCTTTGTGCACTGGCATGCAGTCATGTTGGAACAGGAAGGGGCCATCCCCAAACTGTTCCTACAAAGTTGGGACCATAACATTGTCCAAAATGTCGTGGTATGCTGATGCATTAAGAGTTCCCTTCACTGGAACTAAGGAACCAAGCCGTACCCCTGAAAAACAACCTCACACCCTAATCCCCCCTCCACCAAACTTTACACTTGGCACAATGCAGTCAGGCAAGTACCGTTCTCCTGGGGACCACCAAACCCAGACAGTCCATCGGATTACCAGACAGAGAAGCGTGATTCGTCACTCCAGAGAACACGTCTCCACTTCTCTAGAGTCTAGTGTCGGCGTGCCTTACACTACTGCATCCGACGCTTTGCATTGCACTTGGTGATGTAAGGCTTGGATGCAACTGCTCGGCCATGGAAACCCATTCCATGAAACTTTCTACGCACTGTTGTTGTGCCAATCTGAAGGCCACACGAAGTTTGGAGGTCTGTAGCTATTGACTCTATAGACAGTTGGCGACTACTGTGCGCTTTAGCATGCGCTGACCCCCCTCTGCCATTTTACATGACCTATCACTTTGTGGCTGAGCTCCTGTTGTTCCCAGTTGCTTCCACTTTGTTATAATACCACTAACAGTTGACCGTGGAATATTTAGTAGCAAGGACATTTTACGGAAAACCTGAATCCAATTATTTGGAGGGATGTCCCAATACTTTTGGCAATATAGTGTATTTGTGACTCCTTCACTGCAAATCTGAGACTTTAGGGCCACTCAGTGGTAATTTTTTTTATTTACAAGGGCTTTGATACCTAGTATCTCTGAGTAGATTACAGTATTCTCCTCAGAGATACTTTGTATCACTTTTGTAACACACAGCCGGCTAGCAGTTTACAAAACGCAGTGAACTGCTGCCAGCTCACTGATTGTCATGGCTCTGCGATCACATCGATCAGCTCTCGCTATGATCACAGGTCTGTAACCACCTAATCTGCTGTTGAGGCTCTGCCTTGGACCCAGAGGGACCCACCAACAGCAGTAACTCAATGAGCTGATGGTCCCTTCACGGACTAGTGCTCATTGTACCAATTGACTATCCCATCACCGGTCATTAACAAACTGAACAATTGGGACCGGATAATCCCGTCATCGGTCAGGAACTGGTTAATCTGTCTCACTGCTCCTTTGTAGCATTGCCTTACTGTGCGAAATAATTTACAAATGACTCCCACAGTAAAGGGAAGTAGCAGACCCCCATAATATCAGTAATAGGGCTGCAACAACTAATCGATTAAAATCGATTATATTCATTCATGAGAATCGTTGGCAACAATCATCGATTAGTTGCCGCCGCTCTGCTCCACCGTTCTCCGTGCTGGTGCTGGCTGCAGAGGTCTCTGTCCCTTTCAATACCCGCCTGTATCGGCAGAGGCAGCGGGGACACAGATCACTGCAGCCGGCTCCAGCGCGGACTGTGGTGTCTCTGCATTCCTCCACTGCTGCCTCGTTCCTTCTCTTCCGCCACGTTCCTCCGCTGCCGCTTTGTGTCTCTACTGGCCCGTCCTGTTCCTCCTAAGCCACTCCCCTTTCTCCTCAGCCCCGTTCCGCCCATGCCCTGTTCTGCCTGTGCCCGCACCATGCCGTTCCTCTTCATCGTCTAGAGTCTGGGAGCCATACCCTGCCTGCTATTTCTTATTTTAAAATGCGATAGCCAATAGCAGGCTGGCTATTGCACCCACCCACTGCCTGCTGTAAATCAGCAGAGGAGGACCTGATGGAGAACTTTCTCCTTCAGGTCCCTCCTCTGCTGATTGACAGTAGGCAGGGGGCAGTAGCCAGTCGGTTATTGGCTATTGCAATTTGAAATACCCAATAGCAGGCTGACTATTGGTCCCAGCAATAAAGTTAAACTAAAATTAAAAAGACTAAACAAACTTTAAAAAGTTCTATAAAAATCAAAAATGCAAACAAATAAACAAAAATGAACTCAAATTAAAAAATGAAAAGGTGTGTTTATTGTAAATAAAAGTTTGGTTATTTTATTATATTGGCTTAGAGTTTTACAATTCACATTATTTTAAATCCCTGAAACTAATTAAAATGTCTATTATAATACATACAATTATTAATAATAGGTGGGAAAAGTCATTTTCAGTTTTGGCCTGACAAAAAGTGCTGTAGGAGTTGAGTAGCGGTGCCATTCATTTCAATGGATCCCAAATGCACCTCCTGTCCGCAGTGCGGTCGACCACACTGGAATGCGCGGTACTGCAATACCCTGCATTCCAGTGCAGTGCGATTTAAATAAAATGTGCATACTGTTTTATTCTGAAGTAAACTTTGTCTGTAACACTGCATTTGGGTATTTTATTTTAATTTTAACATTTTTTATCCGATTAAGCTATTAATCGAAGTTAATAATCGGCTAACTAATCGATTATAAAAATAATCGTTAGCTGCAGCCCTAATCAGTAACTATAAATGTTATTTTGTATCAATCTAATAAATAGTCAATGACGTCTTCTTTGTGGAAAGTCTTGATCTGAGTCTTGAAAATGCATTGCGCCTTGTGCATGGAAGAGTCAAATAAAATAGCCGGAACACACCAGATTATGGAAAGAATTAAAATACATATATATTTTCTTATAGTAGGAATGGTGCCACTAACTCATCATTTCTTTCATTCAGCTATTACACTTCAAAAAAAAGTCCTGTGTTGTAAGGTCAAACAGCACTCTATCCCTGAACTGTACATGGTGCATGATCAACATTATAAAACAGTATTTCGAATCAGCAATGAACAGATGAGTATAGGATATAGCAAACAGACCACATAAGACCACTCTAAGAATGTCCATGTATATATATTCTAGGCAAGTCAAGACAAAAATATGCATTTGACCAACTTGCAGCTAGGCATTATTTAATTTTTAGTTTTACGGCAACTTTCTTGTCATTTTCTTAAAATCTATAATCAGAAATACCCTAGTAATGCAATTATCATCATTTTAGGATTTGTACGCTGGAAATAGATGCTAAGATCTCAGTCCACACTTTCATTGTTAGAGGTCCTCCAGCAAAGTGTCACTTTGAACTGCCTTTAAAACAATTATAAATAATAAATACATTTAATAAATTTAAATATGTTAAAGGAGAACTATGGGGTTAGGGCTTTTCCCCATAGTTCTCCTTAGAGTAATGGGAGGACACAAACTAGCGTCCTCCCGTCACCCTAAGCTCAGTATACCGCAAGCTACAGCTCGCGGTATACTGAGATGCCGCAGTATACCGCGAGCTGTATACTGAGACGCCGCAGCTGAAGTGGATCCCGACAATTATGTCTGGATCCGCCAGCTGCGTGAGTGACAGCTGGCTCTGGCTATCTAGAGGCAGAGCCAGCTGTACCCGCCCCCTCCCCCGTCCGTTCCGCCAGTCAGTGCTGGAGGATCGGAGCAGGAAGATGGGAATCGAGCCCCTCCCCTGTCACGGCAGAGAGCCGTGACAGGATCGAGAAGTGAGCGAACACCGCTATGTGTTCGCTCACTTCCCGATCTACTGAGCCGACCTGCGACAGTTTCATTGTCACAGGTCGGCTATAACTATGAGGTGAGTGAAAAGCAATTTTGGTGACATTTAGGGATGCACCGAAATTTCAGCTGCCGAAACATTTTGTCAGAAAATTGTACTTTCTGCGAAAGTAAAAATTTTTGAACGAAAATGCTGTCCATCTCTAGTTTCTGACACAGAGCATTGACCAGCGGGGAGGAGAGAAACATTCAAGAGGCCAAGCGGGGAGGGGAGCAGAGCACTATCAGCAGTGTCACAGGAGGCCAAGATCCCCTCTCGCTCAGAAAGGCCTGATCTGACTGTGAAAGGCAGATCAGGATGGAGAGCGGTGCAGGGAGGAGACAGCTGTAAGCTGTCCCAGGAGGCCGAGCCAGCTGTGCAGGGCAGGAGTCGGGTTGTGTCACAGGAGCCTGAGCTCTCCTCCCTGCAAAGTTTGCCCAGCCTCCTGTGACAGCAAGTCAGGATGGAGAGCAGTTACAAGCACTCGGCAATGATTAAATAAAGATACAATTGGAAAAAATGTTTTAAAAAATTTTGTTTTGATTTTGGCCTGACACATTTTCATTTTTGGTTTCAGTCTGAAAATTCCATTTTGGTGCCTCTCTAGTCACATTATCAGCCTCTTTTAGATTGTCACATTACTTATTTCTAGTGCATAAAGCAACATATTTATTATCCTAGTTTGTTTCATCCCTAAATAAGGAGCGTTATTAAAAATTGTCTCTAAATTGTTGCATGCTTGTTGGAACCTCCTGGATGACAATAGCCCTGAAGTGTTCAGCTGACTTGAGGGTATGAAGCTGAATTACCTTTGCAAAACTTTAAGAAAGTGCTCAGGAGGACTTCTAGACTGTGCGAGAGTTTGGAGGTATTTTATTGTCACAATTGCTGGATGCAATTACTGCGCTGTTGGG